CCGTCTAATTTCGGGACACCCTGTATATGTTTCAGTTTGAAATTGTTTTAAAATTTTAATAAAATGAAACAATGATGGATGTGCGGTATACAAATTTGCGTTAAATTTAGTATGGAAAGATTCGCAAGCGTTTGTGCTTCTTTCTATGCTATCACTTAATTCAGTCCACAAAGAAGGAGGAAAAAGGGCATCTTCCGATATATAGTTGTCGACCAAATAATTTGAGAAACTCAATAAACGTTCATCATCTAGTTGTATTTCCGCAAAGTCAAAGGCAAACGACTGCTTACTTCTGTCGGATTCAAAAAAGGCAAACCAAATATATACCGCAACCATTGTCCAATTTCACTGCTTTCATCTTGATAATATGGGAGACAAGGCCTAGATTTTGAATTTTTCTAAACCAGACTTGCCCCAAATGAAACCTACAACCTTTAATTTGAGAATTCGAGAACACCGCTGTTATGCCATTGTGGATTGCAATCTGAAAATTAGCTACAATAACTTTTGGACTTAGATATAAACTTAACTTTTGGCACCCATCTTTTAAAATGTAAAAAAGATTTTTCTACGAAGACTCCTTTTTGTTCGGCAATAAACAAAATGCTATTGCAACGTAAACATTTGCAAAAAATGTTCTGGACAATAATAATTAAATGTACCATCGACATAAATACTTGCACTTTCACATAACACAGTAAGGTTTGTTTTACAAGAAAATATAACAATTTCTTTGTCTTCGTCAGTTAAAAGTACACAATTTTCTTTCCTTACCGTTCTAAAGGACATTTGTCTTAAACATTTTATTGGTATCCAGTCAATTCGTCGCGCGACAATTTATCGCGCGACCTTTCAGAGCCGACAATTCATCGCCACGACTTTTCATCGCTACGACAGTTTATCGCTACGACAGTTTATCGCTACGACAATTCATCGCCACAAAAATATCGTATTGTATCTATGATTTATACAGTATGTCTGAAAAACAAACAATTTTTTTGGTGCTATATTGAATTTTTCTTATAAGTACCAAATAAAATTATTTTTTCGAAAAAATTACAGAATATCTTACTCTAAATTAAACAAAAATATAATTTACTTTTTTTCTGCTAATCAAGTAGTTTTTACTAAGAAAAATATAATAAATATCAATAATGTATTATTGATAAGCCAATTTAAAGTGTATAAGCGGTAGTCGCAGGTTCTCAACAGTCCTTTACCTACTATTTAAAAAGGATTATCTTCATTAGCCAATTCGGGTAAGTTACCGCATTAGTTAATAATAATAGAGAATTATAATTATCCTTTATTAATCCTTTCAAGGAGAAATTCATAGTGCAATCAATATTTAATTCTAAAAAGGATTATCTTCAATAGCTTGTTTGTGTAAGTTAGTATTTTAGATGCCCTGTTTATAATATATGTATATAAGGTTTAAATAAGAAATACCAACGAACTGTAATCATTCTTATTTTGTCTTTGTACGAGTTTACATCATTGTAAAATTTGAAAATGCCGTTACAATTTGTTGACAGCGAAAAAGGTCACAAAATGCTTTTATACAATGGCCATACACATTCTAGAGAAAAAATTTCTGGAGAAAAAGGTATATGGAAATGTTCTCTATATCATAAATGGAGATGTACCGGTCGCATTCATACCATAGGCGATGACATTGTGAAGAGTACCGAACATAATCATGTGTCAGATAGTGCTGATGCCGAAGTAAGGAGAGCTGTTAAAAAAATGAAAGCTTTAGCTGAACAAAGTGGTTCCACTACTCAACAAATCATTGCAAAGGTTTCCGAGGGTTTATCATCATCGGCTGCAGCCAGATTACCACAAGGGAGTGCAATGAAAAGAACTATTCAACGAAAAAAGGAAAAGACAGAAGGAATTCCTGCGATTCCAAATTCTCTGCTTCAATTAGTTATTCCACAGGAATACACTGACAAGCAATGGTCAGTTATTTTTAATGTACGACAGCGGCCCATCAAAAGATCGAATATTAGTGTTAACAACAGCAAGAAATCTTGACTACATGTTGGAGTGTGAACACTGGTACGGAGATGGAACTTTTTTAACAGCCCCTAATATGTTTTCCCAAATATATACAATCCATGTCGTCAAATATTCAAATACCATTCCAACAGTATATGCAATTCTGCCGAATAAAAGAGAAGGAAGCTATAGACGTTTATATGCAGCATTAAAAAATTTGAAACCTGAACTTTGCCCTACATCTTTTTTAATGGATTTCGAAAAAGCAGCGATGAATGCGGTATATGGAGACAAATCCAGAATACCGGATTTCAGAGGCGATATGTGGATGAAGAAGTGTTTTCATCAAATTTGCGACTTCTGGCTGCACTTGCTTATGTTCCTGAAGACGATGTAGAGAGTGCTTTTGATTTATTATTAGAAAGTGAATTCTATGCAGAAAACGAGGACTTAGCAGATTTAATAAACTATTTTGAAGACACGTGGATTGGTAGATTAGACAGAAGAGGAAGAAGACGGTTACCAAAATTTCCTATATCTTCTTGGAATTGTTACAATGCAGCCAGAGAGGGAATTGCTAGAACCAATAATGCAGTTGAAGGATGGCATAACAGTTTCAGTTCAAGTGTTTCCATTGCACATCCCAACATTTGGAGGCTAATTAAGGCTTTACAAAAGGAGGAAAGCCTTAACAAATTGAAAATAGAGCAAATTGTGGCAGGTAATGAAATTACTCAAAAAAAAATTTACAAAGATTCTGCACGTCGTTTAAAACTAGGTACTTACAGAATCCTACGACGCTCGTAATACCATGGAATATCTTCGAGGAATTGCGCATAATTTTCGAATGCAAGTCTAAATTATTTAATATTATTATATTATATTAGTTCAATTTAAAATGTAATAACTAGCAACTACAATTTTTTATAATATATTTTTTTTCAATATACCTACTTGTTTTTTATTACCTATACTAAAAAATATATAAAATAAAATTTTGATTATAATAAAAAAAATAAAATAAACCATAAAATGAATTCTAAAAAATGGCTGGCGACAAATTGTCGTGGTGGTGAATTGTCGTAGCGGTGAATCGTCTTACGATGAAATGTCGGCTCTAAATTTTCGCGCGATGAATTGTCGGGCGATCAATTGACGTAGATCCCATTTTATTACGTCTGCCCTATTTTTCGGTAAAGGTGGTAACGCTTTTCGTCTATTATTGTATAAATTATTTCGTAAATAATGCAAGTCTTTCACTGTAATAATAATTGTTTAGAGTTTTCTTTTATGTCTGAGTAAATAATTTTAGAAGGCTTTTCACAAATGTCATCGGTTGCTTTACGTTTGACACTAGCGCTAACTATCTGCCTATTAAGCTTTTTAATAATTTTTTCATGAGTATATTCTTTTTCACTGCGTGTAACTAAATGTTTTGCTCCCACTATGTACACTTTTGCTTTACAGGAACGGTCCGAACAGCTCCAACAAATTTCACCACTTTTCAATTCCTTAGGTTTGGAAAATTTAACAGAATTCACTATTAAAACAGTTTTTCCACGTTCGCATAAACATACAAAGCTTCCCATGATTTTTTTATGAATAACAATAGCGTCAAAACAAAGACTAATACTAAATTCTATTCAATAATACTAAATATTTATAGTGACTTAATCTAGTTAAGTTTACCCTCACAAATTCTTAAAAGGTAAAATCCCTTGATCGGTGATCTGTTTTTGAGTGGCTTTACAAGTATTACAAATTAAAAATTAAAAAAAACCAACTTCAAAAACGTGCAGATGCAATCACCATATCTTAACCAAATTTATATGTTACCACCCCTGAGGTACCCCCTTACTAACAAAAAAGAATCGTATAAATCGGACAAGGTGGTAAAGCATTATCGCTAATGAAAGAGTTTGAGGATTTTCTCAAGGATCAAATTATTAGATTTTGACCAAATTTATATGGGACTACCCCTGAAATATTATCTTTATAACAAAAAAAGAATCATTAAAATCGGACACCGTGTTAAAGAATAATCGCTGAACATACATAAAAAAAAAAAACATCGCGACGAATTGATAACCTCCTCCTTTTTTTGAAGTCGGTTAAAAATAAATATTTATAGCAAATCCTCAAATTCTTAGAAATTATAATCCTAATCCCTTGATCGGGGGCGAGTTTAGTTGTTGAATTAAAATAGCGCAATAAACATTCATATCAATTAAGAATTGGATTATGTGTTTTTTTCCGGAGTGGAAATAAGGTGAGCACCTTATTTCCGTCCGTACTTTCCTAATCTTCCATTTTTAGACAGTAAACAGAAGTATACCTACTACATAATAGCTTTTTAGTATTTTAATGATAAAATAAAATATATTCTGCAAATAATTTACTTATAGTAGAATTTACAACGATTTAAAATCCAGGCTACAGTTTAACTGATTACATATTTTAATAAATGATATAGTTATAAAAAGCGGTGTGAGACGAATTTTTTGCTCTTGGAGAAGAACTCTGGCAGTATCAGTCTTACTATACAGAGTGTTTGACTTTCATAGCCAACCCGGATTTAAAAAGAAAGTGAAAAACATTATAATCTGTAATGATAATTATTATAGATAACAATAAAATTTACATTATAATAAATGTAGAAATTCTTATGCAAAGTAATTGCTTCCTTAGAAGTCGTTAAACAAATGAAATCATTAATTTTACTAAATGGACATTCTTATTATTTACACAAACACAAGAACATCTGCGGAATTGTGCTCTATTAATTTTTTTACGATTTTTTTACGGTACGATTCTTTGCAGCTAACGTGTAAACATCTAAATCCATTTCCTCATTTGAATAAAAGTTTATTTTTTATGGATGTACGCCCACACGAAATTATTTCAATTGTAATATTATGTAATATTTAATAATTAAGACCAATTAGGAATTACGTTTGTTTTTGCAATAATGTGTAGTAATAATAAATAAGTGTACTTACTATATAGGGTTTTCCATCGGACAGGTGGCATATTTCTGAAAAAAAAAAAAAATAAATAAATAAATAAAATAGTAATTAATAAATAATAGTGAAATATTAAGTATACAGCATGGGCGTCACCGCAGTGGGGTTAAAAGGGTCAGCTGCCTCCCCTAGAAAGGTATACCCCGCATTTTCTTCATGGAGTAATGGTTCTCCATCTTATGATTATTTTTTTACACACAAGATGTTAAAGTTACACCTTTTTCATTTTTTTAAAAAAGCCGCACTTCTTAAAGTACTTTTTTATTATATGCCTAATCCATTTTTATTTAACGAAAATTATTAAGAACCGAAAAGGACAAAATTAAACCGACATTCCTTAATAAAAAAATACAAGAACAAAAGTTTAGCTTAATTCTCTGAAATATGCAGAAAATGTAAACACTAATTGAATCGGTCATTTGAGAAAGCTCATAAGCCACAAATTTGACATATTCCAAAAATGGCAGATTCTTATTGCTAACATTCCAACGAGAAATCCCATTAGTCGTAACACTCCTTGTATTAAATTTTCAAATGTCAAATTCTGCTTTACTTGAGAAACCCTATAAGTCGCTGACTAATGGTGTTTCCCTAATACACACGGCACACGAGCTAATACAATCAGCTGTCGCAGACTGACCGAAAGACAGGCTTTTAAGGGTGTTTCTGCAACAATAAAAAAACTAAGACTGACATACGGACCTTGGCAAATTGTGAACTCTATTAAATTATGTTGGAAATACCTGTGCGATCCGTAGGGCTCGAAGGATTAGTGCTTGGATGAAAACATCACGTTCTAATTACATACTTTATTTTAAAACACTATTACGATCTTAATTTTATTACATGGTTCATTTACTACATACTTTTTACACTATATACAGACTTTTCTTCTGAAAAAATGTTACTTAAGCACTCAAGTTATCTTTTAGGCCGCAGAACGATGTTTTGTGTTTGACAGGTACTGAAGTTCTGTTGGGAGAGAAGTTGTTCAGCTAGAATAAAAATGACGCTCGATGTTGACCAATTAGGAAGTGCCTAACGCTGGTGTTTTTAATCAATGAGGGCGATTGCCGGTTATGGATGACCAATGAGAAGTGGACAAGAAGTGAATGACGCCTGTGACGTAGCTATTAGATGGGAAATTTTTCTTACTGACCAAGGCAGTGCCGCAGAGACGGCTCCAGGAGTAAAAGGCAAAGTTTAGTGCAATGTTGAATATAATTCAACAAGCAGTATAACAAGATTAAAATATATCGGTTAAAATAAGTCAGTATGTGTATTTTAAACATATTTTTTGGAAAATGAAAGAGTTCTTGCGATAAAATCTATAGATGGACTGACTTTTGATACATTTCAAAATACATCTACACAACCTTTGACTCTACATGTCAAAAAGGCTTATGTTGGAAAATACCTATTAACGAAGCAGTATCTTCCGGAATGAGAAGAAGGAATTTCATAAAGATAACTGTTCGACTGTTGATAACGATAAGGTTTTAGGTGAAATTTTAGATTAAAGAAAAATATTGTTAAATAAACACATTATTTCATTAAATTATATAATTTTATTGTATAAATAAATTAAAATAATATCCGTATGTTTGAGAAACCCCATAAGTCATGATTTTAAATATTTTGGACTCTAGAAAAAAAGCACAAGTGTTTTGATACTATCAAATAATAAACCAATCTCGCAATTTTAGAAAAAAAAATAGTGGAGAAATAACTCCTGAAATGCTTCGAAATATTCGGGAACATGTTGAACAAAGACTTTATTACTGCATGAAAGTAAATGGTTCGCAATTTAATCATTTGATTAATTAAAACTTGTTTGGACATTTTTTTCATCGACGCAATAATGGAAACTGTAATCCTTGTACACCTAATTTTACTTTCTATACATAGATGGCAACAGCAGTGCCGTCGTTTGGACGTTGAAACCGTTTAAATGTCAGTGTATTCATATGAGATATGAGTGACAGTGGAAGTAAGTAAGATTATTTGTAATCTTTCATTATTGTTTGTTTTAATGGTCATCTTTTAATTTTGATTGTTAGAATATAAAGAAAAGGTTGTTATTTACGAATGGAAGATATATTTTGTTCATATATTATTTGTGGCTCTGGCTAAGTGGTCATAAAAATTGAAGGTACATTTGTACCCATAAACCCTTAACCACATTGTTTCTAGTCTAAATTTGTACTAAATTTGTAAAAAGTCTTCTTGTTTTATTTTTAGAGCAATATTGCTTCATAGCGAGGGAAAGGAACATTTTTAAATGAAGAGGAACTCCTCCAGGAATTGGAAACCAGCATATCTGACATAGAGTGTTTAAGTGACGAGGCAGATGATGGTGATGAGGATGTGGTAATTAGAGAAAGGATACACGACGAAGAGGGAGGGAGGGAGGGATGAGATATTAGAAAATAATTATGAATGAGTAACTCCTAAAAACTTGTGAAATGGTTAGAGAATGTTGAATATATAACAAAAGATTTGTATTGTCAAACAAATCGTTTATCTAATAATGAAATAACTAAAAACTGTCCAATTACGTACTTTCTAAAATACGTTCCCAAAACTTTTTTTGAAAATATAGTCCAATATACGAATATGTATGCGATTCAGAATAGAACCACTAGCTTTCAGCCAACAAATTTATCAGAAATAAAGGCCTTTTTTGGATTGACGATAATAGCAGGAAATCTAAGGTTTCCTAGACTCAGTATGTATTGGGACAGGAAGCTAAAAGTAAATTTATTTACTGAAACGATGACTCTAAAGCGATTTTTTAAGTTACGCACGCACGTACATTGTGTAGACAATCTAGAACCTAGAAACAGTGACGATAGGTTATGTAAAGTGCGCCCAATTTTTGACTCAGTTTTGAAAAGATGTAAAGAATTAGATATTGAAACAAACCTTTGCGTAGATGAGCAGATGATGTCTTTTAAAGGTAAACTGTAAACTGTAAACAGTACATAAAGAATAAACACCATCCATAGAATATAAAACTTTACCTATTGAGCGGAAAAATCGGAATGACGTATAATTTCATCATCTATCAAGGTAAAACGACAGAATTCCAACCAAATCTTTTGAAAAAATATGGGCAAGGAGCAACAGCTGTCTTACATCTTAGTGAACATCTAAAACCCGGCAAACATAGGTTGTTTCGTGACAATTTTTTCACTACATCTCCTACAAATACTAAACGAAAAGGGTATTCTTGCTTCCGGTACAATTAGAAGTGATAGATTTTGTAAACCACCAATTTCAAAAAAAAAGATTTTGTTAAAAAAAAGAAACTTGCAGTTTCTTCTGATGAAATCGTACTGGTGAACTGGTTAGATAACAAATCAGTAACTTTAGCTTCTAAATTCGTTGGTGTTCGAAAAGAAGATACTGCAAAAAGGTGGAATAAGGTAACAAAAGCTTATGTTGAGGTAAAGCGACCTGAAATAATACAGAAGTATAATTGTTCAATGGGAGGAAGTGATAAGGCAGATGCCCTCATTGCATATTACAGATCTAAAAGTTGTTGTAAGAAAAGCACAGTGAGGATGATTTTCCATGCTATTGATATGGCGTTAATCAACTCTTGGTTAGAGTATCAAAAGGATGCAGCTGTTCTAGGAATTGCAAAGAAAGATATTTTACATTTGTTGCACTTTCGAATGCATGTAGGTGAATCCCTTATAAAGGTGGAACAAGATAATTATCGAAAAAGGGAGACCTTCATCGCTAAATGAATCTAGTTCATTAACCGTCAAAATGTTGAAGTAAGGTCACTAGATGAAGTCCGTCATGATAATTTCGGTCAATTTCCTAAACATTCCGGCCCAGGTCTTCCGTTAAGATGTAAAAATCAGAATTGTGGAGGAAAAACTCGATGGAAATGCACAAAATGTAAGATTCATCTATGTCTTCAAAAAGAAAAGAATTGTTTCATCGATTTTCGTCGAAAATAATGTTACCTTTTTTTTACTTGGTAAATAGTTTGTTTTGATACGTTTTAATTAAAAAATAAGCGTTTTAAGTTTAATAATTTTTTTAGTTCATTTTCCTTTACTTGCTGATGGGTACAAATGAACCTATTCGCTCCGTGCGTGGTAAAATGATAATTTATTGTTTATTTAAAACCTTTCAAGTTTCTGATGTCTACTATTTGCAGCATTACGGTTATTATTACAAAAATAAAGGTAATTTTTCTTCTTATTGTATATCTATCCATTTATTTCCTTGATTTAATTTCCACTTTGCTACTGAAATTTTTTATATAAGTTTCACTGTTTTTTTGCTAGTATTTGTACAATTTTCAACACAGCAACTCCGGTTGCTTATTGTATTGTTTTTACCTACTTTTTTTGAAAAAAAGTAAAATGTAAAATTACAAAATATCGCCCTAAAATGCACGAATTATCCGCAGCTAGCGCTACTATTGCTTTTGCTTCCCTTTCCATGACTTCGCACGGAGCGAATATAATTTTTTCTTTAGTGTAATGAAAAAAAAAAAAGTCAAAATCTCAAAATCATATTTATGTACCCTAAAATAACACATTACAGCAAAAAAAAATACGGCTACAAAAATAAATCGCCACTGAAAGGATTAATTGGGCCACCTTAAATAATAGACTCATCATCCTGTTCCAAGGTAAAGGATTAAATCCCGGCTGAGGCTATTTTTTATTTTATATAATAGTAAAATTCATAAATTAAAATCTTTGTTTTAATTATTTTCATAATAGTGATTTTATTTTAATGTTCTCTCTAAATTAATTTTGAAAATTGTGGGCCGTAGAAAAATATAGTTTAAAATTCGAATGACTCATCCGTATAAAAATTAGATTGAGCACTCCGCCTACAGCGTCATTGTCTTCGTGCGATATGGCCATCATGTCCACTTGCTGCACGAACTACTCTACTATTTTAATCTCTTCTGTAAATTGGCATGAAACCAACTTGTTGTTTTGCAGCAATTTATAAATTCTAGTTACAATTCAAAATG